TGTATCTGACTGTGAGTTTTTAGTTACTCCGAGTTGACAACATGGAGGTGGGCTTCCTCTGAGTGCAGGAGGCCTGGGTTAGGTGCTGAAGAGCAGTGAAGACAAACACAAAGGCTGTCCCCCATCTCATAGCCTGGTGGGGAGGCAGAGCCAGCTTGAAGCTGATGGAATGTGAGACAGGCTGCCAAGTGCCAAGGAACACGGGGGAGTGGGTTCAGCTCATTGAGTGGCTTTGGAAGTAGAGGAAGGAGATCAGGAGAGGGGCACCGTCCGAAATGCCGCTGAAGCCTTGGAGTGGAGAGGAAGCTAAACTGGGGAAAGGAAACAGGAGAGGGCAAGGTCTAGAGGCAGGAGAGTGGCGTGTTATCCCTCCTTGAGGGAATGTCCTTTGAGCCGTCCTGTTCCACAGGAGCATGGGGGCTGTGGAATCAAGGAAGCAAATTGGGAAACTCAGGTGGCATCTGTTTTGTGGGCATTAACCACAGGCTGAGATTTCTAAGAGGGTTGTGGCCGTGGGCACAGCTCAAGCAGCTTTCCAGGGTTCCCAGCCTGCAATACCACATTCACGCATGGCGTGACCTTGGGCAAGTTTCAAAAATTCTCTGAGCCTCTCTCTGTCTTCTTACCTGTTAAATAGAGTGTTGATGGTGTTGAGCTCAGAGGCTTGTAAGAGTGAAATGAGCTGAAGGCATGGCAAGAGCTTGCTTGTTTCCTTTTGTCCTGTACAGTACAGGTAGTCCCCTGTGACGGCTTCGAGGTACAGTGAACTGCATGTACGTCCACGCTCAGGACTGTCCATTTTTCCTGTCTTTTTGGTACATCTTATCGTTAATAACATTACTACATGCAGTTAAACTCACTGCTCTTAAATTGAATCTGATCATAGTGATCCCTCCTTGGGTTTCCGAGGCAGTATCACTATGGAAGTGGATTGCCCCACCTTCCTTCCAAGGAGTGGCTGGTGGGCTTGAACCGTCAACCTTCTGGTTAGCAGTCAGATGCCTTAGGCACTACGCCACCAGAGCTCCTGTGCGTGCACGTGCAGTTACAACACATAATATCCTGAGGTCATCATCTAGTCTCATGCCAACTCCCAAAGACAAAGAAAGGTCGGCTTTATAAAGATACTGATAATAAAAGGCAATAATAATGAAACCAAGCAAACCAACAACAACAACAAAAAAAAGGTACTCAACTTAGGTCAGAACCAGCTTATGACAGAGTCACTGGAATAGACCCAGGTTGTTGGTGGGGGCTGTGTGTCTGGTCTCTGTCTGCCATGGACTGTGAGGGGTGGATCAAGGCCAGTGAAGGTGTAACTGTGAGTGCATAGTTCTCAGCCCACCACGAGTCACCTGATTCCTGTCTGCTCTCAAAGCGTAGAATTAAATTCCTTTGTATCATAAGTGAAAGAAGCCAGACCGGGAAGGACAAATAGTGTTTGATCCCACTTATACCTATGAAAGAGCTGGAGGAGTCAATTGCCTAGAGACGGGTGCAGGAAAGGAGACGGGTGTGACTGCTTAATGGGTGCTGAGTTTCTGTTCAGGGTGATGAGAAATTTGACAAGTAGATGCTGGCGATGGCTGCACAGCAGAGTGCATACAATTCCTGCCCCTGAATTTTACTAATTTTTGATGATTTTAGAAATGACTACAATGGCAATTTTATATGTTACATATAATTTATACGGAGCTCTGATGGCGCTGTGGTTAAAGCATTGGGCTGCTAACCAAAAAGTCAGTGGTTCAAGCCCCCCAGCTGGCTCAGATGGTGGCCTAAGATGATGCAGTCTGCTTCCATAAAGATTCACAGCCTTGGGAACCGTTTGGGGCAGGTCTCCTCTGTCCTGTAGGGTTGCTTTGAGTCAGAATCCACTCCATGGCAGTGGGTTTGGTTTGGTATAATTATTTATCACAGGAAAATGTTGTTGTTCTTGTTATGTGCTGTCGAGTCAGACCCAACTCATAGCAACCCCTCCTTAGGTTTCTGAGGCAGTATCACTACAGAAGTAGATTGCCCAACCTTCCTTCTGAGGAGTGGCTGGTGGGTTTGAACCATCAGCCTTCTGGTTAGCAGTCAAGTGCGTTATGCACTATGCTACAGGAAAATACTTTTTGAAAAAGAAATGCTTTTCTTCAGTAATTGGGACCATTTTACTTCCTCTTGGTCCTGAGCTAGGAACCCTGGTGGTGCAGTGGTTAAAGCCCTTAGCCACTAACTGGAAAGTGGATGGTCTCAACCCACCCACCCAGCAGCTCCACAAGAGAAAGATGTAGCAGTCTGCTTCCCTAAAGACTGACAGCCTTAGAAAGCCCGCACGGCCCTTCTGCTCAGTCCAATGGGGTCACCAGGAGTCACACCTAACTCTGCTGTGGCATCAGGTTTGGTTTTATGGGCTCAGTTAAGTTGGCTCTCGACAAGGTTTCTTACTCCACAGTGCCCTCTGCCGGTGCTTCCCGTGATGCCGAAACGTGTGAGTTGAGAGGCGGCGTCTCCTATTGGCGCTAGTTCACCTGGTTGAGGTCCCTGACAGGATGAAAGGAACTACCTGGGAGGTTGAAGGAAGAGGAAAATGACTCCTGCGAGACAGGACCCTTCAGGGGAGCGTGATGCCAACGCAGGCTTCCTGGCGTCCTCAACTCCCGCAGCTGCTCCGTCTCCTTTCTCACTGGCATTTGAAGGGCATTCATTCCGGGGCACCGATCATCCTTCCAGGGAAATACGTCAGAAGTGACAGCCCCATGACAGACCCAGAAATGTCATTTCATAGTTGAGCACCACATTGGAAAAGATGACATGGGAAGATGAATTCTTTCCCCCCTTTGCCTAAACCTGCTCTTGAATTTCTTTAACACAGCTACTCTAGTTTCTTAGTCCTGCCTGGGAGGCTCTTGGGGAGATCTTAGTCCCGGGAGGGTCTTCTGCTTTGTGTTGAAAGTCGAGAATTCCCAGTAGAATCATCCATCTGACAGCCTTAGACTGTGGTGACTGGGAGGTGATCAAGTGGATGGTGGAGTCTCTTTGGAACAGTTTACTCTGGGTTTATTTTATTTTTTAAATTAATATGCTTTGAGCTCGATGTGCCCTGTGACCATGTCCCTGCCCACAGGCCCAGCGACCCGCTCCCTCAAGGTGCTAACTTGTGCCTAAGAAGTAATCCTGACTTTGCCTCCTGTGATGTTTAAGCTGCATATGGACATTTTTATAGCACATAAAATATAGCACATTTTCTGTTTTTTACAGTGCTTTCATATATGTCTTCTCTCCTCATAAAAATTTGGATTGTTAATAGCTTAAGTAGTTAAATTAATAACACCCCGCTTACAGATTCAGAGCTGAGCCCAGCAAGGATATGTGTCTTTTCCGAGGTCACTTCTCATTGGGCAAGATGTAGAGTTTGAACATCAGGTCTTTAGATTTCAAATCTCCCTCTTTTTATTTCTTTACCAGAAGTCTCAGAATCTAGAGAAAAAGAACCAGAGTAAAACATTTCTGAGTTGCTTAATAAAGGTGAAATATTTTTCATCTAAATTACAGAGTTCCACATAAGTCTGCGGTCAGTCAGCGATGATGAAGTTTAGAAAGTTGGGCAAGGCTTCCGAAATGTCATGTTTGGGGATGATTTCTAAACAAGTGTCTAGATATGAAGCAACTCATGACAGAGAAACATTTTCTCCACAATGAGGGTCAGTTTCAGAAGCAAATAGGGATCAAGGGGAGTCCCAGGGGGTGCAAACAGTTAATGCACTCGGCTGCTAATCAGAAGGTCGGTGGTTCGAGGCTACCCAGGCTCCTTGGAGGAAAGGCCTGGTGATCTGCTTCCGAACAGCCAGCCATTGAAAGCTCTGTGGAAAGCATTCTCTCTGACACACGTGGGGTTGCCGGGAGTTGAGTTTGGTTCCACCACAGCTGGTGGGGATAAGAGAGAAGAGACCGGGCCTGGGGTTAGTTAGGATGCAGGCATGTGCCAGTGGCCAGGACAAAAGTTTCTAAATTCTTGGCAAAATTCAGAAGGGATGGTGGCTTAAATGCACGTTACACAGTGCCCCTTCTCAACCTGAACTTCTGGAGCAGTGGGGATGGATTAAGGAGCCTTGGTGGTGCAGTGCCAAAGGCATTTGACTGCTAACCAGGAGGCTGGCAGTTCGAACCCACCAGCCACTCTGTGGAAGGAAGACAGCAATCTACTTCCATAAAGATTTATTCCCTCGGAAACTCAAAGGGGATCGCTGTGAGTTGGAATCGACTTGATGGCAGTGAGTTTGGTTTTTTGGTTTTGGAGGGATGGATTAGGGAGTCCCTGGGTAGTGTGAACTGTTAAGCATTTGACTGTTAGCTGAAAGGTCAGAGGTTTGAACACACCCCGAGGTGCCTCAGAAGAACGGCCTGCCAGTGTGCTCCTGAAAGGTCACAGCTTTGAAAACGCTACAGAGTTTTCAGAGAAACTCTTGCACACAAGGGGTCACCGTGAGTCAGAATTGACTTGGGGGCAAGCAACTACAACAAAAGGTGTTCCTTCTATGGATCACAGCGTTCTGGGAGCTCTGGTGGAATTGTGGTTAAGGCATTCAGCTGCAAACCAAAAGGTCATCAGTTTGAACCTACCAGCCACTCCACAGGAGAAAGCTGAGGCAGTCTACTCCTGTATAGATTTACAGCCATAGAAACCCTATGGTTCAGTTCTGCTCTGTCCAAAAGGGTTGCTGTGAGTCAGAATGGACTCAGTGGCAGTGGGTAGCTTGGTCTAATTGGCAAGGTGGTGTAATGGTTGGAACACAGGACAAGTCAGCCGACTGCCGCTTGGCCTCCCTGTGCCTCCTTATCTGCATAAAGCGGATGTGGAAACACTGGATTTCTTGTCCCGGAGGGTCGTGAAAGGGAAGTGACGTGGGAGGAGTGTGACAGTGCTGACTATGAAACGCTACCTAAGGGGGCATCACCTCAGCTGTTTCCTTCATGTGTTATGTCTGCATTTTCTTTTGGTGTCTAAAAAACAGGTTGATGACCTTCTGCACATATATAGTTCAACAGCCGATGGTTTTCGCCGAGACAGCACGTGGGAAACGCAGGCTTATGTCCACTTTCCGGATAACCAGGGAGTCACTGTCGTCATCAAGCCGGAACACAGAGTGGAAGATATTTTGTCTCTGGTGTGCAAGGTAATAGGTTGTGGTGTCCTCCCACGCCTTCTGAATCTGCTACCCAAGAGAACAGCCTTGTGGTCACTGAGCACATACTCATTCATTTGCAACCTGCCCCTCCCTGCTGAGAAAGAATAAATGTTTGGATCATGACCTCTTGCCTTCATGAGGAACCTGAGCTACTTAGTGTAATTCTCTCTATACAGGTGGCCCATATATATGGGCCATGTGACATATGACAGGGTTCCATTCCTACAACTCCACTGCGTGTCAGTTCTGGTGTAAGTCGGATACCTCATCTTTTAAAAAATTCATTTCAGAGCACAGTAGTGTTTCGAACAGTGAATCATAAAATTGAACATCGATAAGTGACCATCTGAGAATGGTAACAGTCAATTCCATGCTTCACCATTATAGTACATATTACTGACCGTAAGATGTTTTCAAAAAACGGACAGGAGGTGTGAGTGCAGTTGGTCCTAACTCGAATACGTCATCAGTCGGGAACTACCTGTATAGCTTTGTGTCTAGGATAATTATGAGCTCTGGTAAGTGTCAATGAGATGGTGCCGTGTAGGCTGTGGGTACATACTTTGAAGAAATTTGATTTAATTCTATTTTTTGCCAAGTTTTTCTAGATTAAGCAACTAACTTGATGCCAATCACAGTTGCTTCAGGAGATTGACAGGTGATAATTGTGTTACTTATTGTTCAAACTGGGTTTTATTCTCAGTCTGAAAGGGAACTTTATGATAATTGTTAAAGCCAGCTCAGGGCTGTAGGCGAAATGTCATCAGCAACGTCACATCAGTTTTCAGACACCAGGTGGCGTAGTAGAGCTTACGTAGTTTTAAGTTTTCAGAGGGAATGCAGGCAAATATATGAAATGATGGAAAGGGCGTGTGGAATTTGGTAATGCTCTACCAGGTACAGGAGCTCTGGTGGCATAGTGCCTAGGGCACTTGACTGCTAACCAGAAGCCTGGTGGTTCAAACCCACCAGCCACTCCTCAGAAGGAAGGTTAGGCAATCTACTTCCGTAATGATACCACCTCAGAAACCCAAGGAGGGGTTGCTGTGAGTCAGATCCGACTCGACGGCACATAACAACAACAACAACAACAACAACAACAGCTACTACGTACATATAACTCTGTGGAGAACGTTTGATTTGATCCTTCCTTTGTCACTTTGACTTGAAGCGTTAGGGTACTATGCATTTATACAGGGTGCTTATACTTTTAGGGGGAGCTCTGGTAGCATAGCACCTAAGGCACTTGACTGCTAACCAGAAGGCTGGTGGTTCAAACCCACCAGCCACTCCTTGGAAGGAAGATGGGGCAATCTACTTCTGTAATGATACTGCCTCAGAAACCCAAGGAGGGGTCGCTATGAGTCGGGTCCGACTGGACGGCACATAACAACAACAACAGTACTCTTAGGAGCTTATTTTCCTTTTGCTCCATTGTGTAGGGTTTTTATCCAAGAATTTATTTATATCTAGAATGGGAGCTCTGGTGGCGTAGTGCCTGAGGCACTTGACTGCTAACCAGAAGACTGGTGGTTCAAACCCACCAGCCACTCCTTTGAAGGAAGATTGGCCAATCTACTTCTGTAGTGATACCGCCTCGGAAACCCAAGGAGGGGTCACTATGAGTCGGATTCGACTCAATGGCACTGGGATATCTAGAATAATTATGAGCTCTGTTAAGTGACAATGAGATAGTGCTGTGTAGGAAGGTGGTCCATACGAGTGATATTGTTCAGAGGTGTCAGAAGTGCCGGGTTAGTTAGACCCATTTAGGCATAACCAGTTGCCATCTAGTTGATCCCGACCCGTGATGACCCACGTGCGTCAGGGTAGAACTGTGTCTGCATAGGGTTGTCAGTGGAGGTAGTCAGGCCTTTCTTCCAAGGCTTTCCTCGGTGGACTTGAGCCTCTAACCTTTCAGTTAGCCAAAAAAAACCAAACTCACTGCAGTCGAGTTCAGTTATCAGTGGAGTGTATTAACCGTTTCCACCACTGGGTCTCCAGTGACAGCCAAGGCCTGAGAGAATTTCTCACTGTTGAAATGTGTATATGAGAGAGAGAGAATGAAAGACTGTGCATGTATGTGTGTATGTGTGTATATGCGTGTATATGCATGTGCGTATGTGCATGTGTGTATGTACGTACACTTTCCTTTTGAAAACTTTTTAGAGTAAGAAATTTTTAATTCTGAAGTCTGTAGAACATGAGATTATTCGCAGTTTACAAAGTTCTCCCCTTTAGTGATGGGAGTAAGAGCTCTGGTGGCGTAGTGCCTAAAGCATTTGACTCCTAACCAGAAGGTTGGTGGTTCAAACCCACCAATTGCTTGTGGAAGGAAAATGGGACAATCTACTTCCATAAAGATTTAGTGCCTTGGAAACCCACTGAGGGTCACTGTGAGTTGGAATTGACTCGATGGCAGTGAGTTTGGTTTTGGTTTTGGCTCTGATGGCAAACAATGTAAAGTCTGGGTTTGTTGTTGTTGTTGTTATGTGCCATCAAGTCGGCTCTGACTCATCGTGACCCTTCCTTGGGTCTCCGAGGCAGTAACGCTACGGAAGTAGATCACCCAACCTTCCTTCTGAGAAAGTCTGGGTAGGATCAGTATATAAAGTGCCGTCGCTTACGATGGTGGGATGTGTACTCCTAGCAGGCATGTTCTGTTACCGTCTCTTAACAACATGTCCCCTGCCTTTAATGATAAGCAACAGCACTTAGAGAAAACCTTCTTTAAAATAATTACTGTCCTTTCTTTTTGGTACTTTAATTGTGAGCTCCTATATAGGTTTAAACTCAGCATTTTATATGTAGTATTTCTTCTAGAAATTTCCAAGTGTGTTTTCAATGAGGGTGCTGAACAATAATGACTTTAGAAAAAGGAAAGTTTAGAATCTGAATCACTTCCTCTTTCTTTACAGATGAGGCAGTTGGAGCCCAGCCACTATGGCTTACAACTTCGAAAATTAGTCGATGAAAACATTGAGTGCTGTATTCCTGCGCCATCTGAGTACATGCAAGACCAGGCAAGTGTGCCCTGGCTGTAGATAGGGAAATGTAGGCACATCCTGGGTGTTTGGAGAAAAAGAAATGTGATTTTGGGGAAAATTCTGTTTAAATTTGACATCTAGGTTGGAAACTGTCTCAATAAAAGGTAACTTACTAGCAGTGTTCCTGTTTCACTGTGAAAAAAGTGTCAAAATAATTTTTCAAATACTGTACCATCAAATCCTCTGATTTTGGTGTTTTGACCTTTTGTAGGCTTACGATGAAATCGAAGTCTTTCCCTTAAATGTTTACGATGTACAGCTTACTAAGACTGGGAGCGTCTCCGACTTCGGTAAGAATACGGAAGACCCTTATCAGAGGGCTGTGTGGTCCCACGTAGCCTATTCTGCCCCCAGTTCTTTGCTCCTCAAGGAGCTCTGGTGGTGTAGTAGGTAAGGCATTAGGCTGCTAGCCTAGAAGGTTCACAGTTCAAACCCACCAGCTGCTGCGTGGGAGGAAGATGAGGCAATCTACTTCCAGAGAGGTTTATAGCCTAGGAAATCCAATGAGGGTCGCTTTGAGTTGGAATTGACTCAATGGCAGTAGGGTTTAGAAAATTGTTTTTTTAATCTTTGGTCCTATTCTTTTTCTTTATGTTTATATTTTCAGATAATATGACAAATAATTCTTATACTTCTTCACTTTCTATTTCTTTATATAAGTAAGATAAAAAGATATGAGTTAATATTAGAGAAAGGAAAAGGAATGAATATAAAAATTGATGAGAAATTTGAGGTGATGGTGATAATCATAATGACAACAAAGTTTATAATGAATTTAAAGAGTCCTGGAGCTCTGGTGGTAGAGTACCTAAGGCATTTGACTGCTAAGCAGAAGGCTGTTGGTTCAAACCCACCAGCCACTCCTTGGGAGGAAGGTTGGGCAATGTAATTCCCTAGAGATACCGCCTCAGAAACCCAAGGAGGGGTCTCTATGAGTTGGGACTGACTTGACGGCAGTGAGTTTGGTTTGATTTTGGGTGGCGCAAAAGGTTAAGTGCTTAACTACTAGCTGAAAAGTTGGTGGTTCGAATCCACCTAGGAACACCAGGCTGGTCTTCTGAAAGGTCACAGCTTTGAAAACGATACAGACTGGCTCTACTCCACCCACGTAGGGCTGCCATGAGTCGAATTGACTTGATGGCAAATAACAACACAATGAATTCTGTGTGTGAGATGCTGGGCCAAGTGGATTGATTCATGATTCATCTCCAGTGTCTTTGCCTGTGGTTTACTTTTGCCTACTTGGAATACTACCCTTCATCTCCACCCCAATCCCTCCTCTTATTATATGTGTCCTTTCTATCCTTTAAGAACTAAATAAAGGTCTACTTTTCTTGAAGAAGTCTTACCTTATTGCTCTAGCTGTATTTACCTCTTCCTTCTCTGAGTTTAACAATTAAGAGCCATTACTCAGTTCATCACTTCATAGTATCTAATTCTCACATTTCCATTTGTAGTTGAACTTGGCTGTAAGCTGCTTATGGACTGGTCTCATGCCTTTTAGTTTGTTTCTATCACTTACTGTCTCTTACCCTATGATACCAATAACCAGATAGTGGTTGAAAATATCTCCATAAAAAGATTGTTTCTTAGTATGATAAGTGTATTGACACATATATTTATTTTCCTTAACATGACACAAGTTGATCAAATCCTAGTCATTATATAAGATATGCTAAGGTTTCATTCCTTGAAAGAAAGATGGGGCAATCTACTTCTGTAGTGATACTGCCTCAGAAACCCAGGGGGGGTCGCTATGAGTCGGTCTGACTGGATGGCACATAACAACAACAACAACAAGGTTTCCATTATAATTTGTTCTTTGTTTCTTAATTTACATTATCTCCCCCCACTCAAGTCAAATCAGATGTGGTTTTTCCTTTGAAACCCTCTCAGCATTTTGTTTGTCTTTTGTTGACCTGCATGCTACATTTTTGTGTCTTCTTTGTGTTTGAATGAATGAAAGAAGGTGCTTAGCAAAGATACTGTTTGGTGACCATAGTCTACCAGGCTGGGCCTTGAGGCACACAGGTAATGGGGACACAACACTCCCTGTTGTCCAAGAACTCTCAGTATTATGGGCAAAACATGTGCTCCACTTGTGGGGACAGAGACAAGGGCACACACCAGGGGGCTACATGGAGAGGAGGTGAGGTCTCACTTGGGTTTTGCACGTAGGCGTATTTAGGGCAAATGTTGTCTCCTGCTAATTTCCCTATCTTCTTATGTTGTTGTTGTTGTTATGTGCCGTCGAGTCGGACCCAACTCATAGCGACCCCTCCTTGGGTTTCCAAGGCAGTATCACTACAGAAGTAGATTGCCCCATCTTCCTTCCAAGAAGTGGCTGGTGGGTTTGAACCGCCAGCCTTCTGGTTAGCAGTCAAGTGCCTTAGGCACTATGCTACCAGAGCTCCCTATCTTCTTATAAAGTGCCTCAAAAAACCAAACCAAACCTACTACCATCTTATCGATTCTGACTCATAGTGACCCTGCAAGACAGAGAAGAACTGCCCCATAGGATTTCTAAGGCTGTGAACTTTCTAGAGAGGAGCTCTGCTGGCACAGTGCCTAAGGCATTTGACTGCCAACCAGAAAGTTGGTGTTTCAAACTCACCAGCTGTTCTGGGGCAATCTACTTGTGTAAAGATTTACTCCCTTGGAAACCCAATGGGGGTCGCTATGAGTCAGAATTGATTTGAAGGCAGTGGGTAATCTTCCCAGAAGCACACTGCCACATCTTTCTCCTGTGGAGTACCTGGTGGGTTTGAACCACCAACCTTATGGTTAACATCATAGTGCTTAACCACTGTGTGACCAGGCCTCCCTGTAAAGCTCTTAACCCTGTACATAGTTGTTTCTCAACAAATATTTATTGGATCGAATGGAATTTGATTTATTTCCATGAAAATGTATATTGGTCTTACTTTTTGAAGGCTGAGCTTTTATAATTCTCAAACCATCAGCTCTGACTTGTTCTTCTTTTTCTGTCCCTGCTAATATTTTCACTTTCAAATGACATGTGACCTAGACTTTCTCAGCATACCGTATTTATGAGAATAGATGCTCAAGGAAGCACTGCCACCTGGGTTGGTGAAAGTAATTACCTGCTGGATTTGGGCTTGACTTCCCCTTTGATTTCGTCTCTAGGGTTTGCAGTGACGGCCCAGGTGGATGAGCATCAGCACCTCAGCCGGATATTTATAAGCGATGTTCTCCCTGACGGCTTGGCATACGGGGAAGGTCAGTGTGGCATAGGAGAGGACCCTGTTCTTCTCAGCTTCACACTTGGAAGGCAATCTTGCCACTGACATTTTCTTCTTAGAGTTTTGCCAGAAAATTCTTTCTCCTGGAATTTGAAAGAGTTTAATTGAGAATGCATTAATGTGTATATGTGGAGTATGTGTGTGTGTGTGTGTGTGTGTGCACGTGTGCACAAGGCGGTGTATGCACATATATGTGTGTACATTGAAGGGATAGCATATGTGCATATACAGAGAGAGTATATAGATGTGGACAGATAGCAGGAGGGGGAAGAGCATGAGACAGACAGACAGACACAGATAACACAAATGTGATTTCCTAAGACATTTTAACCACAGAGAAATAGAAGAACAATTCATTTGAATGGCTCTTATTTCCCTTTCAAGAATCCTGCCAGCCAGACAATGTTTCTACAAGTGTGTTTGTATGTTGTGTAAGAATTTCTAGGTATATAGTAGATCTGACAAGAGACAAGGTTGTAGTCACTTCTTGGCCACAGCCAGCTACACAGAGGAAACAAGTAGTTGGACCTATGGGCTCAGGACCAAGGTTGCAGGGGACATCAAGCTCAATTGGCATAGTATACTACACAAAACATTGTTCCATATCTTACTTTGGCAAGTAGTGACTGGGATCTTAAAAGCTTGCAAGTGGCCATCTAGGTGCAACGATGGGTCTCTCCTCACCCAGAGCAAAGAAGAGTGAAGAAAAGAAAACCAAAGGTCCATGGAAACGATTAGTCCAAGGGACTGGTATACCATGCGATCCTTACCCTAGATGACTATGAGACCACAAAAACTAGATGGTGCCCACCTACCACTGTCAACCACTTGGAGGAGGATCTGTGTAGGAGATCCTGGATAGATTGGGAGAACAATGTGGAACAAAACTCAAAATCATATATAAAAAAAAAAAAAGGACCAAGTTTCCTGATCTGAAAGCGCCAGGTGGAACCCTTGAGACTGTGGCCCCTGGCTACCCTTCAGGTCTGGAATTGAACCCACTCCTGTGGCTTCCAACCAAATAAAAGACAGGCATATGAGCTGAGCATTTACGTTAGGCAGATACACTCCTTGGAGAGATCAATCATGGGAGAATGGGAGGGCTGTGTATGCACAGGGAGACAGCTCAGGGGCCAGGAGTTCAGGGGAGGGAAGGACACAGGGAAGAAGTAGCTAGGGGAGGAGGTGGGAGGAGAGCTGTTGCATTGTGGGAGATTACAGTCAGTGTCATGAGACCAAGTAAGTATATGTGAGCTGCTGTATGGAAGATGAATTTACTCTGTAAACTTTCACCCAAACCACAGTAAAATTAAAAAAAAAAAAAAAATCCTGCCAGCCTAGTCTTGAGAGGGCTGGCAGCCATCTTGTTGTCAATAACATCTAAAGACGAGGCATTTGGTGGTATCTCTGAAGAAAGCATCAAGAGCCCAGCCCCCTGACAGTACACAGCTGGACTCAGCCTCCATTCACGTTAAAATATTCCTCCGAGAAATCTCTCTCTCTCTTTTTTAATCTCCCCTCCTTGTTATCAGGGTTAAGAAAGGGCAATGAAATCGTGACCTTAAATGGAGAAGCCGTGGCTGACCTTGACCTGAGGCAGATGGAGGCCCTGTTTTCTGAGAAGACCGTGGGCTTGACTCTGGTTGCGCAGCCTCTGGGCACAAAAGAAACCCTGGGTACTTCCTGGTCAGACAGTGACCTGTTCTCCACGAACCAGAAAAGTCTGCTGCCGCCGCCTAACCAATCCCAGCTCCTGGAGGAATTCCTGGATAACCTGAAGAAAAGCACAGCGAATGGTGAGGCTTTGTTTTTCCTTCCTTAACAACTGGTATCAGTAGCTAATCGTTTCAGGCCGTAATTTTGCTGGCTTACTTGCTTTCTTGATTATTTGATCTATTCAAAAAATGTCTTCTCGTTGATTACGAGAAGAGTGCAGATGCCAACTCAGTAGATGTTATCAGAATTCCATGCATTTTGGTAATTTTAGTGATTTTGTGAGAATGGAAAATTATTTTTGCACAAAATAATATTCTTTAAAATTGTGAAATCTTTGCAAATCACGCACAATATTTAGAATTGTGATTGCATCGTGATTGAAAGTAGATGAAAACTGATATAAAGACCAGAGTTGAACATTTTTCTATTGAAATCCACTTGAAAATAAAGCAGAAACACTTTGCAGTAATAAGCTGGGTTCCTAAAATAGTTGACACGGTTCCGTTCTTTATCTCTTTCCTGAAGTGCTTCCTTTCTCAGTAAGCTGTGAACTTTTAATGTGGGTCATGAATTTTAAAATTTTGTAAATTTTGTAAAAGCCTTAAAATGAAAAACCGTATGCCAGGTTATTTTTTTCAAAATAACATTTTATATTAGGAAATCATTTGAAGATTTGAATTTCTGAAGTTAGCACTTACCGCATATTTCATGTAGCTCAGTCAAATAAATTACACTCTTCAGCTAATATTGCAAATTGAAAAGCTCTTCTTTCTTGTCTGTACCGTTGGAAAGATGCTGGCCAGGCTCCCTGAGACCCAGAGCATAAGGTCTTTATCCTGAGAACGCACAAAGTCAGTTTTATACTTAATTACAATGTCAAGGGCTTTCCAATTGAAATCTCTGCATGCTGGCCAGAAATTAACGAAAAACACAAAAGAAAAGTTGTTAGGGTGGATTTAATTATAAAGCAAGTTTATTAGGTCATTTTTGGAATTAAAAAATCAGCTTGTAAGATTTGTGATTCAATAAGGAGTCGGGCGCTTTCTCCTCCTCTCCTGGGGCTTTATTCCAATTTAAAATACCATTAAATTGACTATTGGCATATAAAAGGGAGAGTCGTAAAACAAAAATTATGATGGCGCTAATTAATTACACGGTTCTATGAGGGTCATCATCCAACCACCTGGGGCTGCGGTTATAGGCCTGAGTGTCCCGTGTGACACACATGTGTGTCCGTTCTCTGGATTCATGAGTCTGGAGGGATTCCTCCAGGACGTGTGGTACGTCTCTATGCATTTTATCATAATGAGAAATCACTACAGAGTCGGTAACACTTTGGGTATCTGGGGGAGCACATTGCTCTGGAAAGCAGCAAAAGGGGCACATTTGTGCTTCATTACTTTTTTTAAATACCAAGGATCAAGCATATACGTTAAGTGTGGTCACCGCTTCTTTGCAAGGCAGTTATGTCATGGCTAGCTGCCGCTCAGTTAGCCCACCTCGTGGCAAGTCCTGCGTCATCCCCGTGGTTCATTGTGAACAGACCTTTGTGCCCCAGTGGGTTTTCATTGACTGAATATCGGAAGTTGATTGCTAGGCCTGTCTTGCTGGTCTATCTAAGTCTGGAAGCTCCGCAGAAACCTGTTCACACATTGTAGCAACACGCAAGCCTCCTCTAACAGATGGCAGTGGCTGCCTTTGAAGTGTATTGGCTGGGAATCGAACCCAGGTGTACTGCAGAGAAGGGGAGAGTTCTTCCACGGAATCACCAGTGCCCCCATGAGGAGAGGATACAAGGGCCTGGATATGTTTGAAAGCCCTTATATCACTCATCCAAGGAAGCCGTTCAGTGGGCTAACACTTCACAACTTCTCTGAAGTTCCAATTTCTGTGCATACAGATAGCTAGCTGTTCAAACTGTGCTGGTGTACTGTCACGACTAGTCTTTGGCAGGTTGAGCTGTGAAGCCTGTGTCTTTACTTCCTTTCCCTGGAGAGGGCCACCACTGCCCTGTTTCCTGGCAGGACTGCATTGTATGGGAGGGAGTCCTTCCCCCATAGCATACTGCCACCCTTCTGCCTCAGTATCCCTGTGGACCGCCCCCCTTCCTGGGCTTCATTACTGTCCATAGTAATATCTTGTGTTAGAAACACAAGAGTCAGGACAGATAGACTGCTTCCTCATATACTTTGCAAATATGTTGTTTCTGGGGGTGGTTGTGTAGGACATGCCTTGGAGTGAACATTGTCAGTTCTTCAGGTCGGAGGTAGTACTGGCGGTTACTATGCTCAGCTGTAACCAGAAGGTTGATAGTTTGAGTTCATCCAGAGGTGTCTTGGCAGAAAGGCCTTTTACTTCTGAAAAGCAACCGCTGAAAACCTGTGGAACTCAGTTCTGCCCTGACACACGGGGTCCCCATGGGTCAGGGTCAACTTGAAGGCAACTGGTCAGGTAAGAAATGGAAGATTAAAGAGAGAAAAGATAGTGATCCTCTCACTTGTGCATAAAGGCATGATGAGAGGAGAAACCTGTGGTTAGTGGAACCTCTGAGGTGTGGCCTGGGGTAGAGAGCAGAGTTCCAGTCCTGGCCTGCCATCTGTAGATTGACCTGAGGAGTAGCCCAGCCAGTGAGCTGTGGGGGTGGAGGGCTGATACCCCACTTCCTTGCTCCGCAGTGGGGCCATCCTGAGGTACACTCTATACACGTCTTTAACAGCCCCTGTGATTATGAAAACCTCATTTTCAGGCTTCCATGGGCCTTCCTTGTCTCATCTTCTCTCCTCTCTCACTTGTGCCTCCTGATGTCACCTCTCAAATAAGATGCTGTCCCCAAGTCCTTGGCTGTGGGCCTGCTTTGGGGGTGGGGGGAGAAACCTGTCTTACTCTCCCAGGGCTGCTGTAACCAAGTACTGTAAATGTGGTACCTTAACAGAAATGAACTCTCTCACAGTCCTGGAGGCCAGAAGTCCAAAGTCAGGGTGTCGGGAGGGCCATCTGTCTTTGAAGGATCTAGGGGAGGGTGCTTCCCCGCCTCCTTCAGCTTTTGGGGGTCCCGGGCGTCCTTTGTCTTGCAGCTGTGTCCCCTGAACCTCTGCCTCCATTTTCACGTGGTGACGTTTCTCCTCTGGGTCTGTGTCTCTTCTTCCCTTCTCACAAGGGCGGCAGTCCTATTGGGTTAAGGCTACCCCCACTCTAACATGACCTCATCTAATTTAGCCTATTACATCTGCAAAGACCTATTTCCAAATACATCATATTCGCAGGTATGGGAGCCTGAGACTTGAACACATCTTTTTGGGTAACGATTACAGAATGAAATAGAAGACCCTAGCTTTGGCCTTCTCTTCCAAAAGACAAAGCCTGTAACCTCCACCCTCGTAGCCACTGGGATGTTGAGGGAGTTAACATCCCTGTGATATATCCAGTCTGGCTCTCAGGTAAAAGACACTGAAAACATGATTTTTATTCTCTTCCCTCTCATTTTAACTGAAAATTACCTTAGTTTGCTTTTGGGATGAATCAGGAGATAGTAATCCCATTTTCTTACTGGAAAATGAAGTTATACAAATGAAAGAATTTCAATGACTTTGAAAATCAGTTTTTAGTACAGCTTGGAATTATGCAAAGTGGTTATTATTTGAGTCTGCTTTTCCTAAATTCCACATTCCTTTGGCATTACCGAGGAGCTCTGGTGGCACAGTGCCTGAGGCATTTGACTGCTAACCAGAGGTTGGTGGTTCAAACCCACCAACCACTCTGCAGAAGGAAGATGGGAAATCTACTTTCGTAAAGATTTAGCACCTTGAAACCCAACAGAGGTCACTATGAGTCAGTATTGACTCAATGGCAGTGAGTTTGGTTTTTTTTTTTTTTTTTTTTGGTTTCTGCATTACCAGAGGCAGCCCAGTGCTTGAAAAGAAGGACAGTTTCATTTGACCCTCTTGTTTTTCAGAGAAGACAAATCTTCTGCCTATTAATAAAAGCTAAACAGCTGGCTCTCTGGAAGGGAGACCTATTTTTACTGGAAACTCTAAGAATAGCGCATGGTAGAGGAAGGAGAAGTCCGGACCAGCCGGGGTGACTATTTGTCAGCCCCTCTCTCTGCTCTTGCAGGAACTCCTCTTGTGCATCAGAGCAGATCTGGGCCCCAGAGGGTATTTCGTGGTTAATTCTTGGAAACACATCACCAGAACTTCCTTCCGAGAGGCCTCTAGGTGGACTTGCAGCTCTCACCTTTTGGTTAGCAGCCAAGTACATTAGTTGTTTGTGCCACTCCCCTAACTAGGGGTTTCAAATATACTGTTCCCTGGGAAAAGCCTATACATAGAGTTCTGGTGACTTGGTCTAATTTTGTGAGGTTTACTCTCATGATCAGGTTCAAGCAAAAAATGCATCTCCTTCTTGTACTTGTCCACTTCTGACAGGACACATGGCGTCTGACTATGGAGGGCGAGACTGGATTTTTATGCTTCAGTTCCTCTAGGATGGGGTTCATACACCCCATTGCATAGGACAGCTCCCACTTGGGCCCTTCTCTCCAGCTGCCTTGCTCACCTGACAAGTGGCTACTCTGCCTGGCGCTCTGAGCCCAAGGCAGCTGGGGGTCAGAGCACCTACCATGCCAGTTCTGTGTTTTTCTGGAAGAGGAGCCCACTACAGGCATTGGAGAGACACTGATAGGTGCAGGCAGACCTCGTATGTGGTTCGCAGACACTGCATTTTTCACAAATGGAAGGTTTGCAGCAACCCGGAGTCAAGTGAGCCTGTTGGCACCATTTTTCCAGCACCATGTGCCCAGTTTGTGTCACGTGTTGGTATTTCTCAGTGTTTCCAACTTTCTCATCATGCTGTTGCCCACTTAGTAGACCACAGTCTAGTGTAAACATAACTTTCACATGTACCAGGAAACCAGAAACTCCGTGTAACTCACTTGATTGGGAATTTGCTTTCTTGTAGTGGTCTTGAACCCACAGTACCTCGGAGGTCTGCCTGCATGAGGTTTCAGAGAGTGGTTTCTCAGATTCTGTGGTGACTGTAATGCTAACTAAAAGGAGCCCTGGTGGCGCTATGGTTAAGGCAT